ATATATATATATGTATATATATGTGATATATTTCAAGTTGAGGTATGGCAAAAGCAAGATGTCACTGAATGCCCAGGGGGGAACAGTGGGCAGATACCAAGTCCAGGCAGGCGGGAGTTCACAGGTTAGAGAACTGGACATCAGAGAGTGGCAAAGATAGAGAGGTGCACACGACCAGACTGAGGACCTGTAACCATGACAAAAAGCCCCAGCATATTTTTATTGTCACAGAGGTCATTTGAGGGCTATAAGCAAAGGATTTGTATGGTCTGATTTTTTAAAAGACCAGTGCAGCTGCAAGAAGGAACCAAAGTTGGTGAGAAGACCTTTTATGCGACAGACGGTGTGGCTTACATTAAGGTAGAAACAATGAAGACAAAAAGAAGCAGATGGTTTTAGGGAATGTCTGGGGTGAAACATGGAATTTGCTGAGTGTAGTATGAGCGGGACAGAAGGGAACCACGGTCACTTACAATTTTAGCTTGTGCTACATGTAAATGCTTTCAACAAATGAGGGGAAAGAACAAGGGAGCTGGGAGGGCGGCAGGAATCGGCTGTTCTTGGATGTAACTGAGGTGCATATTGGAGCCACACCAGGCAGAACCTCAGCAGCGCAGAGTCACAGATACAGGACAGGGCCCTCCGTAACGGGTACCCAGCCCTTGGGCGGTAGTGACTTGATCTTGACAATGGCTTGGGTACGTATTTTTATTTTACACATTTATGCTCAGCTTTTTTAAACCTCGGGCAGCTACATGTAGGAAGGCACCCAAGTCCCTAAGGGGTGGGCCTGGATCGGAATCTGAGTGTCACTCTCCTTACTGCATCGCACTGTTTCTTGGCTGCATTAGGAGATCGTGTGGGTTTCTGAATAGAGTAGTTTTTAAATGAAGGATTTTTCTTTTTAAAAGTCATGTTTAGTCTGGAATGTAGCTGAATCAGAATCTAACTCTGTAAATTCACTAGTTCTTACATGCCTTTCCTGTAGCAGGTGGCAGATAATTGTCTCTTTTTGTACTTAAATGAATTATTAGTGTTTGCAGTCCATAGTGTTTATGTTCCTTGTGAGGAGATAGTACATGGGCATAGCACATCTTAGTCCCTTTTCATCCCGTCCCCTCCCCTCCGTCTCTCGGTCCCATCTGAGAAAGATCTGTCTCCTGCTTCTAGTTATCTATCTTCTCGTTTCCTCTCATAGGAAAGGCCAGGAGGTATTTAAGCTTGTGAGCCTGGCTCGTTTCACTTAACTCTAGTTTGGGGGCAACAGGGGTATTGGGCACGGTGCTGCTTGGTTTTCAGCTGAAGGGCACAGTGACCGCGGTGTGAAGACCCCGGGTCCTCGCGTGTGGAAGGTGCAGGCCCGTGCGTGCTCTCAGCAGACCTCGGGGAAGGGGGCTGGCGGCTGCTCTCGGCTCGGCAAGGGTTCTGTTCGCCGACCCTGGTCTAGTCCTACTCCCTGCGCAGGCCGCACAGTCCCCGCTGCGGTAGTCGGTCTCCGAGCACTACGTCCGCGGTGTGGCCTGTGTCCGCTGCAGCTCAGCTTTGGGCCAGGCTGCGTTCTAGGCCGGTGGTGCAGCGGGAAGCAGGTGCAGGCTGAGGGAGACTGCCTCGGCCCGGTCCGCAGTCTCCCCAGCTCCGGGGCCGCGGCGGGCGCGCACGAGCGCGTTA